TCTTTTTGCAGAGACTTGCGGTCAGTCTCTTCCGACATTCAAAAAACGAGCGCTGACTCGATGCCTGTAATTTGGTCTCGGCTGGAATCTCACTAGCAGCCGCAGTATCTATTACTACCTCTGCTGAGTACAGCTCGTCACGGCTTGATTAGCACAATTGAGCACCATCAGACAAAGCAGGCACAGCAGTGTCCTCATCACTATCAGAGGATGAACTTTCATCTGACGATGATGATGATTCCGACATGCTGTCGTCGCTGGATGACTGCAGGGCTATCAGCCAAGTGGCACCACCGTACCACTTGACATAGCCAGTCTTGTCTGCTGCTACTGCATGGCCGTGAGATGCTTGCAGTTCTTTACGCAGCTTCTCTAGCTTCCCAGGCTCCACTAGGCGCTTGTTAGGAGGCACAGGGTTGAACAAGGCTTTGGGAGATCGTTGACGCTTTGAGCCAAAGGAAGGTCTGTGTAGTCGGACATCGATCATACATCTCGGTTCCTCCTGCAGAGCCGCTATGTTGGCGCATCCTCATCGTCTATATGCAGACAGAATCTTACGAACTCCCCCAATGCATAGAGCAGGGCAGCTACATGGTTACAACCTCCCAGCCCAGCCGTACAGGTGCACAGAGCAACCTTGACCATTCCATCATCAGGCAAACAGATTTTCACCTTGTACGGGTCTGTCCTACTCATGGACGGCAGAACGTGCTCTGTACATAGCAGGCACCGGCACTCTCTGCCATTTCACTGTTCTGCTCGTGGCCAGATTTGAAAAAATTGTACCCCTTTTCCATTCCTTGGAATGAGGAGAACAGCTCAGAGTTGGTCTAAAAGTTGTCCGATGCAGCAGCGAGGTTATTCCGCCCAGACGGTACTAACGAGTTCTCCATGAAATGCTTATATATCGCAGGGAATCCAACAGGAGGCAACTTCTTCAAAGATTGCCTCCAATTTGATTCAGGAAATCGAATTTCCGGATAGCCAGACGTCGTGATTTGCTGCCGTTTTCGCTCCACATTAGCATCTCCATCAGGGTCGACAAGCTCACTTTCGAAGCCATTCTTGATGTAATCTTCCACTCTGTAGGATACATAGTGGAGAGAGAGAGACTGAGAGAGAGAGAGAGATAGAGAGAGAGAGAGAGGTAGAGGGAGAGGGAGAGGGAGAGGGAGATGGAGAGAGAGAGAGAAGGCTTCAGAAACTTGGCACAGGATGCTGGGCAGAGTCCAGCAGAGAACACTAGACAAGTTCAAAAATTATGGGACTTACCTTTTCACCAATTCAGCTTTGCGTCCCTTGCGGCTTGCACCGCGACAAGCAAGCCAGCGCGTTAGCTCCTCAACTGTCAGGTCAGATGGTTTCCTCCCTTTCAAGGAAGATCCAGGAATCTCCGCCTTGACGAGTTCGCCATCGCTCGAACAATGTCTTGATGCAAGATACTGAAATAATTCGAAAACAATCCTAGGAGCTCAAAAATCAACACCCAAGTGGGTCGCAGCCCCGTGCGTGACATCATTGGTATGACGCAACCGGCATAAGGACTATTAGGGACGGCATTGCTTTTCAGCACCTCCACGACATCGGCTGTAGTGATCACGAAAATGTGTGGGTATCTGTCTCCACAGCCCCCATACGAAAACTGCCATTGGCGCTGTCTGCAGGCCAGGCTCCTGTCTGGGCACTGAAACCAAACTCTGGGAACACCTTGAAGCAACTATTGACAGAGTTAGGCAGCATGGGTTGAAGATTACCATCGCTGGTGACTTCAATGTGCATAGTGGCTTTCTGGTAAGGAAGCCACAAAACTATTCCTGCAGGAGAATGTGCTGAGGAGAGGTGCGTGAGCCACGGCCTGGAACAAAATGTTACGATGAAGACCCGAGGGGACGATATACTGGATCTGATTATGTCTGACTATCTTTCTGACGTAATAGTCCGTTGCAAACCTCCCCTTGGTGCCTCGGATGTAACTCTGATAGCTGAATTTCCCACACAAGTGTCGGAGGAACCTCCCACGAAACGAGTAGTCTGGCGCTACAACCTAGCGGACTGACCTCGACTTTCTCATTTTTATCGTCAATCTGACTAGACCACAGCCATCAGTCAATGTCCCAACTAATCATGTCATAATGTCACCGACATCATTACACAAGGCATGAAGCAATTCATACCATCTCGTGACCTTGTAACCCGCCCGTCTGACCCTCCTTGGTGGACTCCTGACTGTTCAGCACAGGTGAAGACAAAACAGGAAGCTTAGGACCGCTCCTGCGCGACTCCTCGTCCACAGCTACGACTGAGGGCCCTTGAGGGGACCAGGCGTTGCACTCACTATCTGCGCCAGGCGCAGGCAATACACCTTGCCACGCCGAGGGACAACATTTCACGTGGGAGCATTTCTGATCGAGGTGGTGGTCCACGCTGAAGCTAGCAGGTGGTAGTGGGCGCAGCACAACCATACCAACTCTTGTTGACACTAACGGCATCCAGGTTGCGACCAACTCCCAGAAAGCAGAGCGCTTTGGCACATTCTTTTTGTCAAAGGGCAGCATCGGAGCAGATGACTTTCCAAACGATCTGCCATCAGACGATCTGCCACCTATAACACCTCGCACCGAGTCTCGGCTTACTACCGTCCACTTTCGAACAGATACCGTCAGAAGAGAGCCATGAAGACTGAACCCCATGAAAGCCACAGGGTGCTGAAGAATTGTGCCAACGAGCTCTGCTTGCCTGTCGCCCGGCTGTTCTCCTTGTGATTTCAGTAGCAAATGCAACCGAGGCTGTGGAAGGTCGCCCGGGTTGTTCCGATTCACAAGAAGAAAGCTAGATCAGACCTGCGCAACTGTCACCCGGTGTGTCTCCTCAGCATTCTCTCCAAGACAATGGAAACAATTGGCAACCACTGTATCATGAACCTTTCTCTAAGCACTGTGTAATCTCCTCTCGGCAATATGGCTTCCGGAAGGGACTCGGTACATCAGATCTGTTAATGAAACTGCACAACGATTGGTCATCCACTGCGGCGAGCGGCGGCATGGTACATGTACTGGCCATCGACATCGCCGGGGCGTTCGACAAGGTTTCACATCGAGGGGTCCTCCATAAAACAGAGGCATGTGGCATCAGTGATTCGCTCCTTGGCTGGCTCTCAAACTACCTCTGGTGTCAGCACCTACATGCTGTAGTCGGAGGACCACAGTCCTGTGCTTTATGGGGTCCCCCCCCCCCCAAGGCAGTATCCTTCGTCGAACCCTCCCTACCTCGGAGAATCCTCACACAGCAGCCATACAAGGACGGGACGCTGCAGTTCAAGAAGATGGTCCACCTTCACCTGGTAACCAGCAACTGGATGCAAGCAAGTCTTGTAAGCCTGCTACATGAACTTGCTGAACCACAATCTCCCATGTACTCTCTTTCTCAATCTCCCCCCCCCCCCCCGTCTCCCCCCGTCTCCTCCCGCTTCCCCTGTTCTTTATCTTTCCCTCAAACTTCCATTTATCTGGTGCGTCCAGAGCATGATGATGTCTAGACCAGTTGGTCGACGGAGCGACATTGTGAGCACCACATGGCTTTTAGTAAAGATATAAAAGGACTCAGTGTTCCTCCTCCCTCTGGGTCACCTTGTTTTTACCAGGTGCATTATCAACGTACTGTATTTACTGTGGACGACCGCTGGCGACAAAGGCATACTGGTATGGCAGTTTGGTATCTTCGAAAACATTCTCGTTACACGGAATGCTGCTTATCCTTTTCATTACGCCAGCAGGGATAATCTTCAGGATTTTTGGTGGGTGGTTTGACTGCAAGTCCATATATGATGGGGTGCTATTCGGTTTGCGATAAGATTGGTAGGTACCCGGGTGAGTTCCGCATCATTCCCGGAGACGTGGCTCAGGATGGCGAAACATTCATTGCTGCATAATCCGACGCGTTTTTCCTCAAGAAGAAGCCTCAGTTTACTTAGGATGTATTCACCCACCAACTCGCTCACTTTGGCGACAGCAAACGATCCCTTCTTTACTTCAAAAGCGTTATTGTTCTTTTTCTTTATCCAGGCTTCGCCGCAGTCAAAATGCAAGGAATTCTTGGCCTGCAGCATTATGTCACAATCTCTCTGGGTAATTTTGACATACAACCTGGCATAAGATGATGCCTCTAGTAAGAGCTTTCTGGTGATTGATGGATAAAAATTGGCTAAAGGGAACACCAGAAATTCTTTGGCTTCTCCTTGAAGTAGCGGAGCCAGTTAATGACCGACTTTCTGTGGTGCCACAAGTTGTGGCTCATGGTACTGCGTAGCATGCCAATGATCCCATCTAAAACTGCCTGGCTGACCATGCCTATTTTACATGTTGCGGGAGGTTTTAGCTGGGAGTGGAGGAAATCAGTGAACCCGGTCTTGTCGTCTTTCCATGTTACAAAAAAAAACACTGCGTCTTAGCAAGTAACCAATCTAATATCATCTAAGCCAAGCTCTGTAGCGGTCTTCATAGCTTTGGCATTGATGTCGCTGTAGGCCTCATCTGAAAAACAAACGGGTATTTCTTGGTGATATTCTTGCGCAGTAGGATCTGATACTTTTCGGTAAGCATACTGTACAGGTTGCGCAACTCATTGGCTGAAACTACAATGTGCATTAAATGAAAATTGATAAAATTATTTGCCCCCCATTCGGTGCGATACTGGATAGCTTTGTCTGCTCCAGAGCCGAGTCAGCCGAGTCAGCGATCCGGTTTGGGTATACTTGAACCCGTTTGGAAAAAGAACACGGGGTCACCTGTGACCGGGTTGGGAATATACATCAGAGAGTCCTAAATAGTTACAACTCCGTAATGCAGTAGCCACACTTGGACGGACTCGGCGCTGGCCCGGTTGCATGGGTTGTGCCAAGTACAAGTGGGCCTCATTGGCTTGAAATCCAAGTGAAGACAGGTGCACTCACAGCTCTCAAATGTGCCGCAGTTCTTGAAAGTCAATGACATATGCATACTTACATTGTATGGCAAATTAATCCGTGCTTTAGCATTGCACAATATCTGAGCACACTCAGTAAAGCCTTCCTCGCAGGCTAGGTGGAGAGGTGTACGGCCCAGCTAAAGCACACAGACAGTCACCAACAGGACTATTCATTAGTTGAAGGTGCTGAAAAGGGAAAATTGACTGCCACTACCAGGATTCGAAGAATGTAGACCAGTGATGTTAAAAACACGGAGGTATGGTACAGTTGTCATCTCAGGAGAGACGGTTCAATAATATATTCAGCCTAAAAAACTCACACTTCCTCTTACACTACCCAGGCTGGGGGGGGGGGGGGGAGGAGGGGAGGGGGAGGGTGGGAGGGGTTTCTGCTCCCACTATAGGCACACTCTTCGATGAGCTCAATCCCAAACTACTGCTAGTACTTGACAAACCGAAAGTATCAGACGCACATTGGTTGAGTGAGTTGAAAAGGGGATAAAAGGATTTCTAGAGATCCTTAGCAAAAGGAGTGTAACATTAAAATTAACTTTCATGGCACTCACTCCCAGCCGTGAAAAATGATGTTAAAATATTTGCATTCTCTCTTTGTAAAGCAGAAGAAGAAAACATATGGGAACGAGTTATGAAGCAACTGTCCACGACTGTAACAAGATGATAAGTAGGGCTGAAACGGTTACACATTTGTGCCTAACGGTTAACTGTTAGCCTAACGGTCGGTTAACAGTTATAACCTGTAAGACTGAGAAAAAGAAACTTTATTGTTTTTGACGCCATTTTATGCCTTTCTCAAGAATGTTCATGATGATGTACAAAATACTCAAAACATTAATGACTAGTATAGTAGTAACATAAGCTGGGTAGCTATAAAGTGGAAATGTTGTAGACCAGGTCGAACTGACATGTCACTCAGTTATCTGAAAGTGACTGCCAACACACTGTTAAAGATAGTTTCGATTTCGTAGAGAAGCTACGGGCCCGACCTGTTCCAACTCACTCACATATGTGTTCGTTCGATGTAGTGAGTTTGTTCACAAACGTACCGCTGGAGGAGACAATTGATATTTGCGCGGATGTGTTGTACCGTGTTGACGAAGTTGACACTCCGTGGCTACCTGAATGTGCTTTTCGACGTTTGATGTTGTTAGTCACAACTGGCGTCGAGTTTTCGTTCAATGCAGTGATGTATAAGCAGATAGATGGAGTAGCCATGGGCTCTCCGTTGGGTCCCGTGTTAGCTAATGTCTTTGTTGGTTACTGTGAGTGTAAGATTGATGCGTTTCTATGGCCGAGTCTGTATTTCCGTTTCGTTGATGACTCGTTCACATACTTTGATTCCATAGAAGACAGCGAGGTCTTTCTTGGTGCTCTCAACACCCTTCACCCTTCCCTCCGCTTCACATGTGAGCACGAGCAGTCAAGCAAGTTATCCTTCCTCGACGTACTTGTTGAGAAAACCGAATTTGGTAGCGTAGCATCGGTGTATCGTAAACCGACATTCACCGGACAATACATTTCCTATGACTCGTACTGTTTGAAACTCGGGTATTGAGCCAATAATGAAAGTAGAAAGGAAAAGGACATAATTATGGAAACGAGTTAAGAGTAACTCTCCACCACTGTAACTAGATACTATATACAGTTCCGTTGAGACTGTGGCTTGTGCTCGTTTTCGTTGCGCTTGCCTTCCCCTCTTTGGTCTTTCCATAACCTTGAACCTTCCAAGCTGGAAGGCTGTCGGTTAGCGCTACGGAGATGTGTTGAAGCTAGGTGTCAGGACGTCGAATGTCTCAGTACTCTGTCAGTTTTGTGCCTAGTTGTTGCACTTTCTGACTGTATATAGTATCTAGTTACAGTGGTGGAGATAATTATGTCCTTTTCCTTTCTACTCGTACTGTTCATCTAATTATAAAGTCAACTTAGTAAAGAATCTCGTGGATCGCGCCAAACGGATCTGTTCACCTTGTAAACTCAGTGGTGAGCTCGAATTTCTCCATTCAGTTTTCACCAAAAACGGATACCCAGGCGACATGTTGGCAAAACTATTGTCTACAGCCCCCACGCCGAAACATGAATTGATAGGGCCTGCTCGTTGTCCTGTCTTTTTGTGCTTACCATGGAAGGGCAAGAAGTCTGACAATGTGAGTCGTGAAGTTCGTGCGATCATCAAATAAACCTACTATGCGGTACACTTCATACCCGTCTACACAACGATGCGTTCGTTCACGGTGTTGAAGGACGTCCTACCAACCCATCATTTAAGTCATGTAATCTACAACTTTGAATGCCGGAATTGTGCTAGCCGGTATGTTGGTAGGACTGTTCAGCACCTGAGCGAACGCATCAAGCAACACACTCCTTTACACATTATCCCACGTAGCGCACAACTGGAGCGTCCCACGCGGGGAAGACCCCGTAAACAACCACTACCTCCGCCAACACAGGACCTAGCGTCTCACTCGACAAGTCCACCATTGGCTCCCGTGGCCATGACCAAGTCACTCCCTCCACCAGCGGAGGTGGATGTGGCTTTGGCGACGCCACGTGTGTTGCATGCAGACACGTTTGCATCAGCATCGCTTGCTGCATCGCCGGCAGAGACGACAACAATACCTACCTCAATATCAACGAGACCCAGAAGAACAACTGCTAATTACACCATGACCTATTCCAGTACGGAAGTACCGAGCCAACGGAATACACAACAGGAACGTGAGACGAGGGATGGGAGGAGACGGGACCTGATTGCTCCGAGGCAGGAAGTCGTTGAGGAGGATTCGGCCAGTGAGTCCAGTGATTCCGGTGAGTGTGAGAGCGAGAATGATCGTGTGAGTAAGAGTGGGTGCGAGCGTGTGTTTTCTAGTAGGAAGTCATCAGTGTATAAGCATCTTGCATCTCGTCCTGATTGCTGTAAGGTTTATTCTGATTCTTCTTTTTCTGTTTTGTGCCGTGCTCGTCATGGTTATAAGTTGCAGTTGAGTGTGTTAGAAGCCGTTTGTCAACGTCTTCATAAGCCTAATCTGTGTGTCCAGAAGGACAGCATTATTCGTTTGAAATTGTTTTAGTAGCAACTTGTTCTGTCTGTTTGGCTCTGGTTGGCCATGGTGTCATATCTTGTGTCACAGTATACTAGTAGTCCTTACAAGTTCGTTAAGTGCTTTCGCAGTTTTTCCTGTTATTACCTTAGTGCTAGGATTATCATTTTCATAGGTGTTGTTTCTTCTCACTCCATTTCTCTTTATTAGTATCTTTCTGGATTGTTTTTCATTAGTACAACGTAGCTTCCTGAGGAGTGTTGTGCGAAAACTAGTTCGAAGTACAATTTTTTGTTCATCATTTCTTCCATATCACATTTTTTCTTTCTTCCATGTTCTTCACTGCCTTCGTATACACTCGTTTTTTGAATACAATAAAAGCCTTTGTGAAGGAATTTTAATCCTTTGCACATTGATTACCAGCACAGCCTGAAGCATAATTAGAAATTTCAGCACAATATTCACCATAAATCTGAGGTCATAACTTTAGATTCCTTCACTCGATTTTCACAATTTTGTGCTCTTTGGAAAGCTCCTGGTGAGAACAACGCGATGATACCAGGTTCTATGGAGCAACCTCCACATATCAGGCGCAGGAACAGAGCAAAGTCGTTCTCAAGCCTGGTATGCAAGTAAATTCGTCCCACCGACGCCATTTCACTCTCATCCATCGCAGAATGCACACATACTACGGAGCATCAGCAAATCAAATTTCGGTTCCATTACGGACGTCCCAAATTGAAAGACTGTGCGTAAATTCGAATGAAAAAGAGGTTCAGCATGTAGCCGCAATTTTTGACTCCGCCACTCGAGTAAGTACTTCAGTCTGTAGTTCTTCTCGAGCTTGAGAAGTAAACATTTTGAGATGTGCCGTGGTTGTTGCATTATAGAAAGAGTACGTAAGCTTTGAATGGCAGGATAGCAAGTCGATTGGTTGGATTCGCTTCTCCTCCTGGCTGAAGATCACCGGGATAGAACAGAGTTGCTGGTGTTGCTCGAGGCCGTTGTACCGCTCCATCATGTACTAGTAACGTTACTGTAGCTCCGTGCAAGACCACTGCTCCATGTATTAGTGTATGGAGCGCACGAGCAACATTCAAAACTACTGTTCTGTTTGCAGGCCTTTTTCAGGCAAAAGAAGCCCTAGTTTCGACTCTTTGAGTGCCTGTAGTGACGATTCTCGAATTTCACTCGAAAATTCAATTTGCTGGTGCTCCAAATTATTTTTCAGACAATTAACTTCAAGCCTCTACGTTACTGTGCCATATCTCAATCGCTCCAAAGGCACGCAAAAAAGGATTTTTCCCTGAGGATAGGTGCGTTAGCCACGGCCTGGAGCAACATGGTACGATGAAGACCCGAGGGGACAATACCCTGGATCTGATTATGTCTGACTATCTTTCTGATGTAACAGTCAGTTGCAAACATCCCCTTGGCGCCTCGGATGTAACTCTGATGGCTGAATTCCCCACAAAAGTGTCGGAGAAATGTCCCACGAAACGAGTATTCTGGCCCTACAACCTAGCGGACTGGTCTCGACTTTCTCATTTTTATCGTCAATCTGACGAGACCGCAGCCATTACTCAATGTCCCAACAAATCATTTCATAATGTCCCCGTCATCATTTCGCAAGGCATGAAGCAATTCATACCATCTCGTGACCTTGTAACCCGCCCGTCTAACCCTCCTCGGTGGACTCCTGACTGTTCAGCACAGGCGAAGGCAAAACAGGAAGCTTAGGACCGCTCCTGCGCGACTCCTCGTCCACAGCTACGACTGGGGGCCCTTGAGGCGACCAGGCATTGCACTCACTATCTGCGCCAGGCGCAGGCAATACGCCTTGCCACGCCGAGGGACAAACTTTCACGTGGGAGCATGTCTGATCAAGAGTGGTGGTACACGTTGAAGCAAGCAGGTGGTAGTGGGCGCAGCACAACCAAACCAACTCTTGTTGACACTAACGGCGTCCGGGTCACGGCCAACTCCCAGGAAGCAGAGCACTTTGGCACGTTCTTTTCATCAAAGTGCAGCTTAGGAGCAGATGACTTTCCAAACGATCTGCTATCAGACAATCTGCCACC